TCGTCGGGAGGGGGGGGCACATCCAGGAGTTCCGCCCGGCGCGGTGGGGGGTGTTTTGGGGGGAGGGTAACCTGGTGAAGATGCACGACGGCCTGGACGCCCAGCACGTTTTCGCCCCCAAGAAGGTCGGGTCTAACCTCAGCAGGGGACCATCTACCCCCGAGGGGTGGGAGGAGGGGGGGGGGGGTTCGTCGACCGTGCACTGTTATTGGGTGTGTTCGATGGTTTCTTGGTGGAGGTTTCCACGTCATATGCGTATGACACTGTACATTCTTCGATGTGTTTGTCTTGCTCGGCGCACTGCAAGGCAATTTCAACTGAGGGGCGCGCTGGCTTGATTTCGTAAAGTGGGTTTCGTTGAGACAGACAGATAGACAGCTTTTCCCTCCACTATTATAGGACGGTTATTCTTTGGTGACACGTGTTGTCTACGCGCTCTCTGGAGACATCACATGGTGGAGGTAGACTCCATCTCCTTCCGCACCCTCGACGAACAATCGGGGTAAGCTAAGCTACATGCTTCACACCAGAAACTCTTGGAGAAGAAGTTGCCAGGTAGAAACGGCTAGATGCGAACGATCAAAATAGTCCTCCTTCAACCCTCCTATTTTAACACGCGGCCCGTCGAAAGAAATCGAATCGAGAGCGCCGAGCTCCTTGCCAGACAAAGACTCACTTGGCTTCAGTATGAAAAGGAGTGTCCCCAAAATACGTGGGGGCTTTTCATGCTCAACCCAAGCCAGCACATGTCTCGTGTACCAGGCTACGATGTGTACAGTTTTACCACTTGAGGGGACACGCGTCTTACCACTTAAGGGGACACGCGGCCTGGGAGATCGTGCGCAGCAAGTCAGAGGCCGAGGAGAGGTATCACACAGCATATCACACAGCGTACCACCTTCCCCAAGCATGGTAGACGAAGGGTTCTTGTCGCGTGGGTTTCCCTTAAAGGGGGGATGTTTGACCCGTGTCAAAGGAGAGGACTATTTGGAACGTTTGGTCTTGCGGTTTACCGGGCAATTTGCTTCCAGAGATTTTTCTCCCTACCATTCACCAGAAATGCGATAGAACGCAAGGCGCAAGGCCGAATGGAGGTGGATACGTGGATATTTGCGCGAACAGCGGCTGCTGTTCACAGAGCGACCGGGTGTGAAAAACAAAATCCTTTGAAGCTGGTCACGATTCCGCAGGCCTGAGTAATTTTGTGAAAAATGTATCTTTAGTCATTTCAAAAGGAAGAGTACCTGTTCGAGACACTACCCCGTTCAATGTGTTGATAACTTGTTTTGTTTTGCTATGGCGTCTTGCGGTGTAACGGTGCAACACAACCCGGCTCGCCACTGGATAGCGTGAAGGACCAGTATTGCTGGGTCTAAGGTTGTGCTTTTTCCGCATGTCCTACATACGTGTGCATGAAATCAACAGTCTCTAATTGGTCGCCGCCCCCAAGATTCGTGTGCAGCAGAGTCGTGACGCACGTACTACACGTGCATGGCGCCAAATGTGTCTTTCTGTGGGCGCCCCCCAAGTTTTTTGGCGAGGTGTATGTGGCAGAGTCAAGACTCAGAGTGTATTGCTATGTTTCGCCGGTGCAGGTGTTGCTGCTGACGTACAAGAGAGTGGTGGTGAAGGACAGCGCCGTTAACGCGGTCTGCTACGGCGCCAAGCTCATGATCCCGGGGCTCCTGCGGTTCGCGGCCGACATCGAGATCAACACCGAGGTAAGCGGTCCTTTTCCTTGAGAGAGCTCTTGTTGTCGTCGCTGTCGCTGTCCTCATGCTGTCAAAATACCGTGGGCAATCACCAACAGATGACGGTAGCGATGGATGCGATATATGTCAGGGCCTGTTATAACGTCGAAGTTGCACCTAAATTGAACACCCACTTTGCATGATGACCCTGGTTGGGCATGTTGGTCATTGAGGGCTTGCGTCGTTGTTTTGCCACACCCTAATGTGCCAGTGAGCAACCAACAAATCCCCCCGCACATACATGCATTGCCCGATCCATTGAACAGGTGGTGATGGTAACGACAAAGGGGGAGGCGATAGCGGTTGGCATAGCGCAGATGATTTCTCCCGTCATGGCAACGTGCGACCACGGCACGGTGGCGACGATCAAGAGGGTCATCATGGAGAGGGACACCTACCCGAGGCGGTGGGGGCTGGGCCATGTTGCCACGAAAAAGAAGGCCATGGTCAAGAGCGTGAGTACGAAAACTTACGGGACGGGGGGCGGGAGCTACTCATGTAAAGGCATGCCGTAGTCGTTAGACCATAGACCTCGCATCCCTATTTACCATCCTTTTTCGCTGGCCCAGACTACGTGTCACAAGTATGGACCGCGGGGGGAGGCGGGCGTACTCATGTTTTGCATGCCGTGGCGTTTAGACTATTGACAACGCATCCTCGAATCCTCGAGAGGATGGAGTATTGTTCCGACAGGATCGATCACCGATTGCAAATCGTTCCTTCCTACTTTCCCATAAGGCAAAAAGGGGTGTTTCGGGCATGACGTTACTGACCGTGTTATCGACGTGCTTTGACATCGACCGGTTGGATTGCTTCAAGAGTGCCCTGCGTGTATGTTTTGCGACTGTCTTTCGCTCAAGTACCTCGACTATATTCTTTGACGTGTTTGTTGTGGATGTGTTGGAAGTCTGCTCAGTGAGAGATGAAAGACACCATCCCTCTGTATTGGTTTTGTTTCGCTGAAGTCGTTTTTCTTGCTGCTTGTTTATAGGGCCTTCTGGACAAGCACGGTCGCGAGAACGCCTCCACTCCCAAGGACTGGAAAACCTCGTACCACGACCTCACCCCCAAGGCGATGAAGAAGGACGCGGGAGAGAGCGGCGACGCTGACGCTGGTGCCAGCGCAGGTGCTGCCCAGGAGGCCCCTGCTCCTGATGCGGCCGAAGGAGAGGAGAAGAAGAAGAAGAAGAAAAAGAAGGACAAGGACAAGGACAAGGTGTGTGCGTGTTTTTGTTTCGTTGCAAGCAGTAATTTACCGAGTTCACGGACGGACCGATGAAAAGACACACAGGGGTATGCACAAGAGCTTTAATTGTGGACCCCACCTGCTCTCCTGACAGGGTGGCAGGGGTGTGAGGAGACTGCCGTGTGTATGGTCATTTAGTTAGCATCGCGGCGGTACCTAGCTGATGAGGCGGCGGGAGAGCAAAACGGCAGAGAAAAGTGTAACGCCTCCTTATCCGCAGACTGCTGCGTCGACAAGGGGCCGCTGCAACGCAAGGCTGGACAGTAATGCTATCAAGCCTCCGGATTCAGGGTACAAATGCTTAGGTTCAAGAACAACTCGTGGTTTTTCGTTTTTGTGCACAACGAGGTCCTTGAGGTGAGCAAGTGTGCTTAAACTATTCAGTCTGCGGGGCACCTTGCTTGTGAAAAAAATAATGTCCTTACGTGAAGCAGGGAGGTCTGTACTTGCAGAAGAAAACAGCGCAATGAGTTGGTCGTTCGTTCGCCGATACTCCCTCCTCCCTAGTTTTCTCACGTTTTTTTTTCTTTGCTTTTCGTCGCACACCAGCAGTCTTGTGTCTTGCGCACAAGTAAAACACTATAATAGTAACGGAAATCGTCTTCTTCTTGTTTGTTTTTGTTCCTTGCCAGCAGTCCAAGAAGCGTAGCGCGGAGGGGAGCGATGAGGACGCGGCGGGTAGCCCGAGTTCCGAAAAGAAGAAGAAGAAGAAGAAGAAGATCAAGACGGAGGCCGAGGCGGAGTAACCCTCTCTGCAGAAGATTAGTTACCAACCTACATTTGACTATGCAGAAATAGTTATGCAACCTACATCCCCCATCGCAATGCCCCCCGATCGATGTGATGTTGTTGTTGTCGTCGTGATTCATTTGTTTGGTGTCGCGTTAGTAGTTACCTTCTTGATTGTTGCGGTGGACTGGAGCATTCGAGGGGGACCTGCTCATTTTCCTTTCTTTCATTCACCCTTTTGACCGGGGTCGATCGTATCCCGGTTAAGTTTTCTTTTTTCGATTGGGTAAGAAAGATGATGGCGTGTTGCAAGTTGGAGGACTTCTCTGGAGTCCATTTTTATTTGATTTCTAGAACGTTGTACCCCCTATTTTTGGGATAGGTGGCTTGTGACCACGGAAGGTTTGCGCGTCAGTTGGACCAGGACGGACATTGGAAGGTACTTAGCGGAGATGGAACGGTGTTTGATCTGACGACAACAACAACTAGGAACGAGTACCAGGTAACTCTCCTGACATTGTTCATTCTTTTCTGGTAAATTACGGGTGCCGACGTGTAAACTCCTCTGGCAAGGGGCCAGTCCCTACCGCTACGTAATGCAGTGATTGCTGTACCTCCCTCCTCCCTCCGAGCCCAAGGAAATTATATTCTGGGATGGAGACCAAAGCCACGGGAAATTGGTTCCCGGATTGGTGCCCAGAGACAAGAGAGGTAGAGAGCAGGAAACGAGAGGGGGACTGACACAGATGACAACGCACCACAAGGACAGAGCAACAGAGAAGAGCGACAGCAAGATTTGTGAGTGAGCTTGAGTCCTTCTGTGCTCCGAGCGTTATTCAACTCCCCATCACGGCGCTGCTGCTGTGCAGTAGTCACTTGGACTGATGCAGATGCATACAAATAACTGCACATCTTTGCGTCTTTTTTTCTTCCCCAAAATTAGTTCCCGGCGTGGTTGAGCACACACCTTGACTGCGGGACGTCAACGACGGCCGGATTTTGTGTCTCAGACGTACAGCAGTACCATCCTTCTTCAGGCCAAAACTGCTCTCATTTACCCACGCAAGAGCGCGCACCACCGAAGGCCTTTAGTGGTTTGCTCCCAAACAGCACTGCTGTGGCAGTACGTGTAGATATGTAGACGACAGCAGGTACTGCTGTAGACGACTAGTACTTGAAGTACCCAAACATTTTTCAGTTTTTCTGTTTCGTTCCGACCTCATCCTTCTTCGTGTTCCAGAAACAAGCGCAGGAAAAATCTCGAGAGCGTGCATTGGTTTTGCGAGACGTGCATTGTAGGGAAAGCTCGGAAGAAGCTTGGTTGGGAGCACAGGTGAGATGTTGCGAGAGAACGATACTTACTGCTGTAGTGTGAGAGAAGATGCTCGAGGATGTATGTTCAAACGAAAACGGAAGCAAAATGAGATCTTGTTCGCGGGGTGGTCGAAGATCCGAAGTACCTCCGTGTACACTGTACACATAATGAGGATGCGTATCTCACTTTACCCGCTGCCGCCGCTCCCCCGTGAGTTCCATGTTGTTCGTAAGAGGGTATTGGGAAGCAACCTACGCACATCATAGTGCCACTGACATCAAGGATGAGTCCTGGTGCGGCAACAAACCTACGTGGATCGATCGTGATGACCGGCGCACACAGCAGCAGCCACTGCTGTGTGGACAGCTCTCGATGGACAGTATATGTATTGCTGCGTGTACCAAGAATCGATCGCCGGACCTCTTGCGCTCGGATCATCAGCCTTCCTATGCAGCAGAACAGCGAGATCCAGGCATCCCGTCACCCACACCGGCGTACATCTACAGTAGGGAAACCGGCAATAGGTATAACAACAGCAGTGCTGTTGTCTGTGGGTGGGTGCGTGGGTACGATGAAACCGCTCGCACGCTCACACGTGAAACTCTCGCAATGTCGGTTTTTGGTCCGCTTGGGCCGCAGTGGTTTTCTGCTGAGTACAGACAGCATCCGCAGCGTGTGCCATTCACCGACACTCCTTCGCTGTCTCCCACCGTAAAGAAGGTCCAGAACGCTTCTCCTGGTTGTCTTCACACTACGACAGTAGGACCTACACCTGCTAGACTTGAATACTGCTGTACATATTGAGACCCACACAAATACCGTATTGACTATTGTAGGTTGCGTAAGATACCGCACCCCCTACCCCTACTCTGACGGTGTCGAGAAATTGGCGTCGTCGACCATCTCTCGAGGGTTTTCCGTTTGATACTGGCACCCTCCTCTTCGCGAAGAGAATCGAGATGCGAAAATCTGGGGGTTGTTATCTTATCAACACACACACGCAATTGCGAACCTACAGTAGTATTTAGTTGCCCCCCCTCCCCGTCAGTTCCGTTCAGCGCAATGCGGGGTGGGGTGATTTAGTCTATTTGTAGTTTCCTTTTGTAGGCCCTTAGCGTGTTATCGTCTTCTTTTTCGGTTGGATATCGTTTGGGCTACACACTTCTTTTGTTTCCCCTCTCCTTGATTAAGTGGTGTTGGGAGGTCTGGTGCGTGCGAATGATCAGGGTGTTCAGTTGTCGCATCTCCCCTACATACAGTCATCATATTTACATGCATTAATAATACGCACACTCGAGGTTTGTTTCCTTTTGTTTCTACAGATAGTCTACAACTGTCACCGAATGGTGTGTGTTATTATAGTTTCTCCTATATTTATTCATGGCCGTATGTAGCACCGTTTGTCATCATACAAGGAGTTAACACGCCGTCGTCAGATTGTTGTTGTTGTGCGACGCCATGCCTTCTTTTTGTGCGGCCTTCCTTATGTCGACTCTTCTTGTGCCTCCATCCAATACCAAGCACAATAAAAAAGGAAATCAATTGGGGAAGGAGCCGTGGGCTCACGGCAATCTGTACCTTATCAACTCACGAGGATGTGCTTTCCACCACCGGATCACGAGAGATTTACTTTCCAGAGAGACTCGAATCCGCGACCTACATAGAAAGAAACAGAAGACCACGACACGAGGCAGTATGTATGTATCTGAACCACCCGGCGGGGCGACCGGTGCCCCCCACTCTCATTTCCCTGGGAAATTTTCGACGCTACTACTGTAGGAAGCGCTTAGTTTGCCCGACGGCAACAAAACAACTGAAACACGGAAGCATACAGTCTTCCTTCTCGTAGGCAAGGCACGAGAAGAGAAGAACACAACAACAAAGAGTTCCTTCCCGCGTACCCATAGGAACAAGGAATGACCGATCGTGAATGAAGTTGTTGTTATGCATACCGCTCTCTCCACCTAGCCCGGAATCTATGTGGTTAAGCGTAGCCTTGGATGGTAGGAGACATGCCGGCTTCAACGTTTGAGCGGACGGCAAGCATTGCAGAGGATTCCTTCAGTGGAACCCCTCATCGGATCTATTTAGTTTACTATTTATTTTCGAGGAGGCATGAGTGCTGGGAACGTAGAACTACGACCGACCGTGATGAAGCGGATGGCAATAACAACATCGTTCCGCCGGTCACCACGTTGTCAAACCGGTGGCTCTGGTGATTGCGAAGTCGTTCTCGCCATTTCGAGTGTCAGAATCGGTATTCCTAGCTTTGTGTCTGGTAGACCAAATGCCTTTCGCACATCGCGGTTGAATTGAACCCAGCGCTGGGAGCTGCGCGTCTCCTACATTCGCGTTGTTGGCGTATCTGCATCCCCGCTGGAAAGGCAGCATCGTTCCACGATGATGATGATTTGCTCGATGACGAGAAAGTGCCCGAGATCGAGGACTGGCTTGGGGTCCAACGCGACGGAGGCGCCGGTGTATCAGGCGGGCATGATGCTCCCTCCACTTTTTTGGTGCCACTAGTCCAGCCGTGGCCGCGGCCTTGGTAGCAGCTGCCTGCGCTGCCGCCGCTTGATCACGGCCTCCTGATGGGGGAGAGACTTCGGATCACTATCGGGGATACTTGGGGGGCAGAGCAAGGCAATGCAACAGAAGTGCGCCGCCAGGGATGACACTCGCCGCCAACTGACTGCGTATGGCCCATCTGTTGGTGGGAGCGCCGCGACTTTTGGATCTTCAGCGGTAGGCCTCGGGCACAAGATTTCCCGATTTCCCGATAGCAGCAAGAATTGGCCGATATTTTCGAAAACGTGTTTCCGGCCTTGCGGCGATGCTGAAAAATCGCATTACTGGCTGTAGCGCTCCACAGCGTGGAGCCACCGCGGCGGCCGGCCCCGTCACGGTCTCCTCGCCCCTGAGCGTGTTGCCGTGGGGGATGCGGGAGCTGTGAGATCGAAGCGGAAGGGAAAGGAGCCGTACCAACTCAACGCTAAATGCTGGCAATCTCCGCACAACATGGTTGTAAAGCCTTTCCGCGGGCAACGTGGGTCAGAAGCCGGGCCACAAAAGGAAAGTAGAATACTGATGGGTGCCGTCCAGGTCGATGGATACGGTCCTTCACCAACTGCACTCTTTTCCCGGCTAAAACGTCCTGGACTTCCAATCCAAGGGTCAGGAGACACGGCAGTTGTGGTGGACAACCTTGGTGCTCCCGCGTCCCGTAGCTTGGCCGTTGTAGTTAGACCTGCTTCCCGAGATACCCACCTGCGCTCCGTCTTCGGGGCCATTGTGGCCCATCGAGACGGCCATGTTAGCCGCGCGATCCTCCTTCCGCCCGCAATTGCTTACAGCATCACGGACCCGACTTTGAAGCCGGCGCTCGCCGCCATCACCCGTGACGACGTTCATGCGTGATGATCAGACTTTGCGACGTGGGGTATTTCCATCTTTACCGTTCGTTTTGCTGCACCGTCCGAGGTTAGGGTTAGTTAGGGTCAGCGTTAGGCAGCGGGTGGGGCGTCGCCGGAGCTGTTACGAAGGCAGGGGCGATGGTCCGGGGAATAGATAGGGGTAAAGGCCTCACGTAACGTCCGAAATCACGGCAGAGACGCCGCTTGGGTTTTCGACTACTCTTCTCTGGCGTCCGAGCGCATTTGTGGTTAGGCAACCTCTACAGCGTGCCGAGATCGACGACGTAGTGCCGGCTGTCGAAACAGGGGGCACACTAGAGGTGGTCCGAGAGAATACTTGCAGGAATTGGGATCAATCGTGAAGGAGTGAGGGCGTGAAATGTCAGTACGGTAACCCAGGCCTGTGGTGGGTGCAGGCCTGTTTGGCATGTTGACTCGTGTGTACCGACAATTTTTCGGGGAGGGATTCGTGTGATCCCCGGGTTCCACTCTTCTCCCTCCCCTCGGTATAAAGCGTACCGGTAGTTTGTTTTTTTGCCATCCCGCTTGTTCTGGACGTCGGTCTCAAATGTTTCAAAGTTGAAAAACATGAAGCTTCTTGTTCCAGGGATGCAGACGTGGTGGTGCGCAGAACTTGCGGTGAGACAGGTTACCCCGCCATGCGTACTTGCTGGCCTGCCCCAGATGAACAAGAACGAGCCTGTTTCTTCCCTCCCGGTCGATGGAAGAAGCATGGATGGGGTATGGAAAACCCTTAAACAACTACGGTACTCATATTAGCATACGTGCCCTGTTGGGATTGGGGAGTTCGTTGTGGCACTTCCTCACGCACGGTCTGCTCCCATGGGCATACGTGGACGTCGATCGCGTCCATAGCTGTGTCACGCAAGCTACTTTATTGGGAAGCACGGGATGCGTGGTTGTTTCGAATGTGAGGCAGAAAGGAACCGTCTCCATGCGAAAAGAAACCAACGCTGCTGTAGCCCGCTCCGGTGTGAAAAACTCTAACAGCTTGTCCACCCTCCCGCCGTCCCGCTCCTTCGCCGTTAACTTTTGCCAGCCTCTACCCGGACTGCGTGCATAGACCACAAGGGCTGTGACGACCCGTGAATGGCGACGTTGTGGTAATGATTCGTGCTTCCTCTCTCTGCCTCGGTCTGCTGGGGTCTGCCCTCATCATGTCCCCCGGCAGCAGCGGTACCAGCAGCACAACCTGCGACTCGGGATCTTACGCTTTCTTTCAGGCGAATGGATATTGTGATAGCGCCCTAAACAACGCAGAATGCGGTAAGTGACATATCGAGAATTAATATAACGTTCTAGGTTGGCGACGTGTGTCTACAAGCTACTGATGGTTTGGGTTCTCGGTCGCTCCCCTTCAGCGTCTCACACTCCCCAAAGGCCACCGGAGAGGATCGCGCACCAAAACGGTGTGCTCTTTGCTCTCGCGAGCAGATGGTTCACAGACCTTGGGAAGCATTCGCCATTTCCTCTCCTTCTTCAGTCGTACTGCGATAGACCAAGTCCTACATGCCCGAAATTCTCAACATGACAAACTCCCGGTGTGCGCCTTGGTTCGCGTGGTGGGCATAAAACACGGCAGGTGCCCTCTACTGTATGTACTATTGTGTACCCGCCAACTATTCTACCGTGGTGGCAGCTGTTGTTGTTGCTGTTGATGTTGCCGTTGATGTCATCGTCGTTGGTGTTTTGGTCTTCGTATGGATATCTAGAAAATACCTCCTCTTCCGTGCAGCTGAAGTCGATGGACGAGTGCTGAGAGGTTAGAAGCTGATCTACGACAAGGCACAGAAGGACGAATGAGTCGGGGGAAAACAGCGAATACCCAACAAAGCTAACCACTTGCCGTGGGTAGACTAGCCCCTCAAACATACGGGAAAGATTCAGAAGTAAATCACACCTCGAGATGCGATCAAAACTCGTTCATGTCGGGAAACAAGTCCGTATGATACACAATTGGTGTGAGCGTTTTTCATTTTTCATTTCGTAGACTCATCTCAAGCTTTTTTCAGGTCGTCTCACACACCGAGAGTGGGCCTGGTCGTCGAAGATCTAGCGAGAGACAACCCCCGTTTTCGTGGGGGTGGGGCTGAACAATTCCACGTTGTTTCGTGGTGGCCCTCGGTGGTGTACTTTGCTGTTCCCTAAGCTCCCAAGCGTGACCAGCGTAACCTTCTGAGGCACCGTCCCTCGATTTCTGTCATTTTTGCTATTTGCTCGGGCTATCCAGGAAAACGCTTACTGCGGAGTACCTATGTCGGAATGGTTCGTAGGCATTCTAGGTATTTGGTAGTTTTGTAGCAGTGTTTCCTGTTTTGGGTGATATTTAGCGTGTATGTGACCTAGGTAATCTGAAGTGAACGTTGCCTTTTGGTTAACGAATATAAGGTCCTGCGAAAAGGGTTTGCGCTGTTGCTTGTGAGGAAACATCAACAAAAACGGGTATGGACGAAGGGAAAAGCTCGCACTTCGCTGCGGTACCTTGATCAGGACCGAGCCGTGAGATAGTGAAGGTTGTCGGACAATTTACTGACCCACCCGGGAAGAAGTCGGCGTGCTCTAGTCGGTGCGTCTCCTCCTCGACGAAATGCAGTCAATTGTCATCGCTAGCGGTTTCAAGGGTGCCGGGGATCGACTAGAGGCGGTCTGATGTGGATATTTTTCCCTGTCCCTCAGGCTACGACGGCGGCGATTGCTGCGAGTGCACCTGTGTCGACGCCTCGTATCTCTGTGGCTACGTAGGCTTCGCCTGTATAGACCCGGCCGCGTCGTGTGTGGACGACGACTACATCACCGCAGAAATTGCGGAGAGCTGTTACGATGGTGGCGGCTACGTTTCCGATGTTGGCAATGGCTACTGCAACGAATCAAACAACATCGAAGAATGCGGTGAGTCCAAGCACGATTCTGGATTGGGATAGATTGCTGTACAGAGGAGCGGGGAAACCTTAATGATTACCTAAAAACATTACCTAGAAGAAATATGCCCGGGGGCGCCGGGGCACAACTAAATGTACCACTCTGCTACATAGTGGAACTTACACCGATAGGATAGAATAATGCAGTACTCATGCTTGCTTGCAATTTTGGCAGTTTGCGATATCCCACGTGGCACGTGGAGCCAGTGGACCACATGGATGCATGAGGAAAATAGCTGCTATAGCTGCTTTAACTTGGACTAACGAAGCATTTTGGAAGTCACAATCTCCAAAAGAGGTATGGTTAGTGCCAATTGATGCAAGTACTTTGTGATTTGCGTTGGATCGCCTTGGACAATGGGTATCAAATAGCGAGGGGGCCAGAGGTGCATTTTGGTGGCATGCTTGCCGCCAACAAGACCTTTCTTTACAAAGTTCATTTTTCTCGTATAAGATGATATGCTCTGCTCTCTCTCTGGACGTAACGCGTGCTTGCTTGCTTTCTCTTGTTGCTCATACTACAAAAGACAGGGTATGCCATCATTTAGTGTAGTATGTGATAGAGAAAAAGCGAAGGCCACCCGCAATCCGAGGCCCGGGGGTACATCAGAGGTGTTGTCCTGACTATCCTCCCATGATTATCCTCCCATGCATGTTGAGCACTTGTTTCTCTTCTTTGCTGGTACTTTGTATGCCGTTTCGCAGATTACGATGGCGGCGACTGCTGCGAGTGCACGTGTGGGGATGAGTCTGGCGACCTTGACGACTTTTCCTGCACGGACTTCGCCTGCATTGACCCGAACGCACCGTGTGTTGACGACATCACCGACGGCATGTTCGAGGGCTGCTTCAACTTCGGCGATGGATTCTGCGACGACTACAACAACAATGAACAGTGCGGTGCGCCAGAAAATGACTACCCACTTTCAAAATTTCTATCCCTGAAGTCGATTGAACGCGGGAAGGAAAAGGCGAGGGGTAGTTCTCGGCGCTACAAGTCCGAGGCATCGGGTTGTACTTCATGGGACCTTTAACCCTGTAGATGTAGGGCAGTGTACCCTATAAATCCCGAATGACAGGCCAAATTTGTTCTGACGCCTTACATTTGTCAGGTTACTGCGTTAGGAACACAAGCAGTACAATCACCGCGCATTTGATTCGTATCGCTCAACCTTGACCTCGATCATTTCCTCAACTGATGCGTTCTAACTCTAGTCCAGCACGCGCGTATACTTCTCGCCCGTTCAACGGACACAAAGTGCGTGGCTACAGACAGACGTGATACCCGAAGATTGACTGCCCTTCGTTTCTGATGGTTGTTCCTTACCTGCTCCTCAGGCTATGACGGTGGGGACTGCTGCGAGTGTACCTGTGTGGTTAGCACTTTGTGGTCCACTGAGTCCAGCTGCACCGAGTTCGCCTGCATTGACCCAAGGGCTCCATGCGCTGACGACGACGACATTACGGCTGATGCCGTGGAAAGCTGCATCATAGACTATCTTGGCGACGGAATTTGCGATACTTCCAACAACATCGAGACATGCGGTGCGTTTTGCTAAAATGTTGATTCTCACGTGGCGCTTATGTCTACTCTTCCCTCTTCCTTGTGTGGCTTGGGGTACCGCCGCCTCTGGTCATGGACGATATTTGGCAGTAGTCCAATTGGCGATCCTGCTGTCGATGCAACCCGTCCAAGGGCATGCCATCATCCCGAACGTCGAACCCTTGTCAACAATTCGGTCCTACGGGGGTGATACGGCATAAGAAGCATTCGTTTTGTCTGTGCAGAAAGCTGTACGTTGACTTCGGCCCGTGCTTCGCCGTCCGTTCTATCATTTCACAGTATTTAGGGTTTCAGGGTAAGTCGGGCCAAGGGCTTTATTGAACCCCTCGATTTTGTTTGACTGCTGCCCCTTCTCTCTTTTTTCTGGTTGTCGATGTTCCCAACTCCTCAGGTTATGATAGCGGCGACTGTTGCGAGTGCACGTGTGGATATGACTCTACAGATGTGCTTGATGGAAGCTGCTCGGATTTCGCGTGCGTTGACCCAATGGCGTCATGTTTCGACGAAAGCATCACGGTCGACATGTTCGAGAACTGCGACGCGGAATTACTTGGCGACGGCTACTGCCAGGAGTCCAACAACAACGAGATATGCGGTGCGTCGCCGTTGGTTGCTTGCAATGTCACATGCACGTCTACGTTTCCCCGGCCACATTTGGGTTCAGCGTTGGCGCCAGAAAATGTTTTCCTGCGGTTTGAAAAACGAGACATCTGTCGAGACGATGCGTCGGGGAATCCCTAAATATCCTAGACATGGATCATTCTTGTTGTGACCCAGCAGACCAACCCAGCACCCCCACTGCCCATCAAGATGCTGCATGCAGCGGTCACGCTCCTCGCCCACATGTTTCGTCGCTACACAGCGCAGGGCGGTATGGTCGCACTAACCCTTGCAGAAAGAACGGGTCCAGGAACGCGTGCAGGGTCAGGTAGAAGACCTAAGCATAATTCTGTCGCTTTCCCCTTTCTTTTGATGCTTCATTTATCCTATGATGGGGGTGACGTCTGACACTGGCTCTCATCCCGTCATCATTGAAAGCAGCAGAAAGCTTCCTTTCTTTCAACGCTGACCGCGAACCCTGCCAATGAGTCCGAGTACGCAGGAATATTACGGTGGAACGCCGAACGTTTCTTCCCTCTTTCATGTATGTATCCGGCTGTCTGTATTTCGCCGTCCGTCAGACTACGACTTCGGCGACTGCTGCGAGTCCACCTGTGGGGTTGACTTTTCCGAGTCGCTTGACGAGTTTGCTTGCTCAAGTTTCGCGTGTATCGACCCCCGGTTCGTGACACAATCACCAACCCCGGCACCCCTCTCCTCGGAGTGCCCAGGAGGCCCCTCGTGCGAAGAAGGTATGCTAGAAAGTGCGACCAATCAAGGTTTAATTGTGGCAGGGATTGTCACCGCCTTGAACCTATTCTACCTTACCTGTTGCCGAAAGGATGCAGGGGCCGATGAGGTCCATTGCTACCTGCTCTTGATGGCTTACGTGTTTGCCGTGGCCGAGGGCATGTGTGTGAGTTTGGTGGTGCCCAACTCGAAAGAGAATCTCAAGATTGGAGCGGTTTTTTTGTTTGGTGCTGTCAGTGCTCTGTCTGCCTTCCTCTTGCGCAAAGCCGGCCGTCACGTCACAGCCGCGATCGTGAACGCAGGTTTGGAAGGGTTGTTTGCCACCGTCGTGTTGTTGTATTTCGTGCAACTGTCCACGCGAAACATTTTCCTGTTCGGGGCTATAGCTGGAAACGAGGCCCTGGTTGGTTTCGCTATCGCTGCGCGTGTGGATAGTAGACCCAACAGCGACGAAAGCTCTTTCGAAACTTACTTCGAATTTGGTTTGCTTGTTGGGGAGGCAGTGGGCGACGTGATTTTCCCGTTGGTTGCAACACTGATTCAGTCTTTGTTTCACCGAGATAGTGCGTGGAGGTCGGACTTCGTTTTCACGTGGTGGTCGATTACCGGGTTCGCCCTCACCTCGGCGATTTGCATGTGTCTCGTACCCCCCGTGAGTAGAGTTGCCTTCGGCGCAAAACTGGCGTGCCTGACCCAGTTCTTTTTCAGTTCATCTACGGGTGTCATGGCCTTTGTGATTCTTACCTTGACCGAGGTAAACATCGCAGATCCTCCGACGTTTGACATCGTCTAGAGTAGCGTGGTAGGGACGGTTGGTGTGCTAGGTGGGTGCAGTAGCTGGCTAGCCTTCAAAGATATTCAAGATATTCCTGACGGTCACAGCATCCAGGCTAGTGCGCCGGAATTACCCACCCAATGAGCGAGATCATTGATGTCTATCCACCCGCGGGATGGGGAGAGAGCGCAAGACAATGTACCTCCCGGCGCTTGTTCGTTCTTCTCTAGGTGTCCTTCTTTGAGAGTATAGGCGTTGCCTCAAACACGTAGTCTACAATGTTTGCAGTTGACACACATCTGCTCAATGCGAGCTCCCACGTTTCCCTGGCGTTTGTCCTTTTGGAGCTTGTCGCAAGCTCTACGGGTGTTTGTCTGGTTCGGAGTGCTGGTGCGTCGCCCGTGGTATTGGCCACCAGACTCTCCAATGTTGCACGTTCTTGTTTTCTTTCTTGTCTTGCCTCAACATGCTGGAAGTTAACGGTATAATAGTTGTTTGTGGGCCCTCTCGTGTTTGTAGAGTGCCGCAAGCTGCGGACCGGGTTTATGTTAGCAGGGTCACGCAGGTTGCAAAGCGTGTCGTTCTGGTTCTCTCTCACGTGAATCGTCGGAATATTTCTAGCATTCATGGGCGTATTGCCTCGCCCCTCCCTCAGTGTTCTTGTAAAATCATTTGGCCCACTTACGCTATTTCAAGAGGACACTTTCACACAGGCCCTTCAAGAGGACACTGTTTACACACCCCAATCTGAACCCTTCTCTTGCTTGCGAGAGAACTGAGCTTCAAAGATTAGCGGGAACCTGATCTCCTGGCGGGAGTCTGTATACTTCTCCAGGGTCTTGGCTTCTGTCCCTTTTGACGCGACTACTGCATTCGCCAGTGACATCGTCCGAAGCTCCTCAAGTTCACGTTCCATCTGAACCCGGTTGTACTGCCACCGAATGCAGACATCTCAACACGAGTTCAATGTGAAAGAGAGAGCCATTCTTGACAGACTTATACCGCCTCATATCGCTGCGCCCCCGACAAAGGAGGCGCTGTCCATGTTGTTTTGTCCATGATACCCCCTTCCTTATCGGTGGGTCGATGGACTGGTCAGAACCTCTTGGGGCAAAGCGCTTGCCGCGGCGCGCACGCTTCTGCGTGTGCGCCCGGTCGAACCCGGCAAGCGTTTGTTACCGGAGCACTGGGGAATCTCGGCCCCCGTGAGCCCAATCATTGTTGAAATTTCGCCCCCGGGTGACGGCTTTTCGGCGAATGATCCTTCTTCCTCCAATGGTCATGGCCATGGCCCTCTGGATGTGTCGGCGGACACACCCGTGGACCACGTGACGCAGGTACTGCACATTTGCGTCCGCCGCTTTTCGCGCCGTCGCCGCTTCCCCGCCGCCGTTGTTGGCGGAACATGGCCAAGATTGGGTGAGCGATACCTCTACGGTGCGTGCGCGCGTGCACAGTCGTACCGGTGCAGTGTGTGCGGCGCCTAGGGTGGCCCTTTTGGACTCGGACTCACCGTCGTCCTTTACTAGTGGTGCTTTTCTTGAAGCCATGGAGGGGCATAGTCTACCCCCACCCCCCTGATTTGCCCCGGATTCGACCAAGAGACAGACCTCTCACCACATCACCACAGAGTTCTCCCTCCATGATGGTCGGATCGTCACCAGAACTTGAAGGCTGTACGCACCACACCTGTAGGCGTCTTTGAACCTAGTGGTGGCTGCTGTGGGGTCTGTGTGTGCTGAGAAATGTCAATCCATGTGAGCAAAAGCAATAATCCATCCGTATGGAGAATCCGTCGAGGATTCTATACGATAGTTTGGTGAACAGACATACAGAGTATCTCTGTGACCGTTTATTCTTCCCCTATAGTCTGGGATAAGACAGCGGCTTCACCTCCCGCTAGGTTGGTGAAGCCATCCGTCGAGAAAAGGAAGTGTCGATGAGTGTTCTCCTGTGTCTCTGCCACACTCAATCGACACTCTCTGATCGCGACTGAATTATTGGAAAATAAACGTCACCTAGTAGTGTACTACCACTGAGGGTGGGTGGGTGGTACTTTAAACGTACTCTCTCTTTCCTCCTGTTTGCCGTGTCGGCACTTGGTTGCCCAAAGCAGTGGGGATGAGAGGCACCCCTGTGATACGTGTGCTTTCGTGTGCGAACGTTCCTGGAAAATGTTTGGAACATTTCCCGGACCGGTTTTCATAATACAAGCCCGTTCTTTTACCTGATACAACGTTCAAAAATCACAAGCACACTATGCTGTCTACGGTGTACATTCTGCTTACTATACCCTATAGTTCGAATTTGATGATGCGTCCCCACTTAATTTAGTGCACCCATTTCTCGAGGATGCCACAAACTAAAGTGCGTCACCTGAGTTGTGCTATGCTGATTTCGAGAGATCACAAACACTGGGGCCGAGGAACGTGACTCCCCTCAATACCAACAATATCACATGCATCTCTGTAGGATGACAAAACCATCCGTACTGTCTCCAAGTGATTCCCAACACACTGGAGTCAAGTGTTGACTCCCTTCACTGAAATCACATAAGACGCATCTCTGTGCGTTGACACTTCCCTCTGCATACTAACACATGACGCAGTAATCAATCAAGTGAAATTCCCTTCACACATACACCGGAATCAACCAACTTGAATGCCTTCACTGAAACCAAGTCATGTGCATTTTTTGCAAGGCCCTCCCCGCTTCATACTGCCCATGCCGTACCCAACTGGTTTCACACACACTGGAATTACCGAACTTGACTCCCCTTTACCGAAACCAACCAAAACACACGATGCCTGTACGTTGACACGCCTCCCTTGAGAACACTGTCCATATTGTGCCCAAGTGAAAAAAACACTTGATTGACCCTACCCGTCGCTTTCCAGTAGCACCGTTTGTCTTTTAACAATCGCAGCGTCAGCGTCGCAAACTTCCTTATCAGCCGAGGTTGAGGTAAACCACCACCGAGTAGCACTGCAGGAGGGGAAAGAGCGAGCGAGCGAACGCGAAGGAAAGCGCCCGGTATTGTTGGGGGTTGGGTTGTTGGGGAACGCATGGCACCATATGTGTAGCATACACAACAAACGACTCGTCAAAAGAGGCATGCGGCTCAAAATACTTGCTCCCGGACTCCCGGACATGAAACAAGACACTACAGGAGGGTGTAAACTAGCGGAAGGCGGCGGGGGCTGGAAATTGAGACGTCGGAAGTACAGGATTTTGTAGTAGGGAACGAACGATACCGCATATTCCACACACACGCGCGCCCGCGTGCAAAATGCCAAATCAGACGTGATACAGCTCAGAGATCGCTTTAGACAAACAGGAGGGGCGGGGGGGGTACTCGCGATCATGCATGCCCTAGTCGGCAGACATTTGAGGGGGGAGGGGATACTATAGGCAAGCCTCGGGCATCCACGGGGTTTCGGGTTAAAGCCGGAGACGTTTAGGATGCATCCCCGAGTTCTCCAGCATTGTACTGTACGCTTCCCTGTGGGCCCACTATTATTCTATATATGTAGAACCTGCATGAAACCCAAAGTGTCGACGCCGGAGGGAGAGGGGGGGTACTGCTTCTTTTTTTCAGTCTATGGCTGAAATATTTCTTGAAAGCTTGAAAGCAAGCGGTTGCAGCACCGCCATACGGTGAAAAAAAACGAACGCACCTGAGTGCGGAGTGTGAGGTCAACCCCGGCCACCTCGGCAAGCCAGTCTCGCCCGCGAGAGGCGGAGTCCAACACGTAAGCCGCGCACATGTCCGTTTGGCGCGCGATCAGCTCGGTGAAGAGAAGCCTGATTGGGGGTAGTGTCGAGTTGGGGTGGGTTATGTGTGTGAGGGGTGCACTTCACTAGTGCACACTACAGTACACACCACAGTACAGGCCAAATACAACTGCTGTAAGAGCACAACAACAGTATTCAGGTTTCGCGAGCAGGGAGTGGTTTTCGTTTTGGTTTGCCGGTGTGGTACCGCGCCGACATCAAAGCGCAGGCAGCAGGCATCTAAAAAAAAGCACAATGCGGCGGAGCATAGACTGCCAACAGATGGCCGAGGTGGGGTGAAGTGATGGTCATCCGCGGCAGGGCCGAACAGGGGGGAAAGGAGACCACTCACTTCCCGCGCGGATGACGTGCGATTCTATCAACCCACACGAACATACGCAAATAGGAGTACGCACGTTACGTTAGCTCGATGTGAAGAAAAAATACTCCTACCAGTGGACCAAACGGAAGTAAGACCGAAGGTCGCCTCTCCCCGAAATCGTACGCGGGCATTCTGTGGGCTGCCGTTGCGTGTCGTGAAAAGACTACGCAACACACAGCAAAACGCAACGCAACGCAACGCAGATTTAACACAACACAACAGCAGCGTGAGGATCCTTGTTGTTGTCGGGCTATTTATCTGGTTAGGTAGCGAACGGGCTAAATAAACCGCACTGCACTACATTGCTGCTGCTGTCGCCTAATGCAAGAACCAAACCACCCGTGAAAATGTAACCCGCTATTGTACGGGAACGCAAAAAATGTACACTGCGAGCAATATCTGTACTTACCAGACGTTTCCCGCGTTGGGATTTGTCGGGTCGGATACTGCTGTCCCGGCGCCGACGTCGGCCTGGGAGACGGCAGCGAACCCAGCCGTGGCTCCTTCCAGGATGTCCGCGAAGAGGTCCCGGTTGAGCTGCACGTCCGCTTTGGTCCCCATTCGAGTAAGGTGCCCAGCCATGAGCACGTCGAAATCGTAGCCTGTTTATCGGGTTTTATAAAGGGGTGAAGCGGTGGGGGTGGGGGGGTGGAAGGGAGGGGTGCGGGGGTGCGGGGGTGAGGTGGGCTCTTGTTAATGGTATCAGCGTTGTGCGAACTGCCGTAGAAGCAAGCCAGTGCTTTAGTAGTTTTGGTTTGGGAATTATATTTAGGCTGAAACCCACATGGCAGGGGCAGCCACACGCATAATTTAACTGGATTGAGAACCTCAAGCTGCCGAAACAGAAGACAGTTATATTCCCGAGTATAATACATTCCCTGCCCGTATGCTACGCACCCAGGATAACGTCCATCGCTTCGTAGTAGCTGGCGACGTCTGGGTTCAGGTTCGTCGGGAAGAGAGGAATCCTGCGCAATGACAACAACAAGCAACGGCGCATTGCGCGCGAGCGCACACACACAGACAGACAGGCAGGCGGACACGCAAACAGACGGACACGCAGACACGCGAACACGTAGACAGGCGGCCAGCAGGTATAAGCTTAACGGGCACAGCAAGCATCGGGATGTTGGAGGAAGCCAACACCGCTAATCCGTCAATCCTGTGTCCGTCCGACCTGGACGCACACCACATATCGTGGTTTACAGTAGTACTGCACGCATGAATGTTAACAGCAGTTTCAGCGCCTGCCGTTAATAGTTTTCGACACGGGTACCGGCCTCTACGGGTCGTTGTGAGTAGCTACTAAATGAGATTGGAAAGGAAGGTGCGTCGACGATCGATCGGGTGAAGACAGGCGGGGGTGGAGGTGAAGTGTTAATACGATGGGGTCCTTGATCGAACAAGGATATGTAGCACGGGACTAACACCCCCCCTTTCCCCCCGAGAAGCAGAACTCACCAGCCTGGGAAGACGGTGTCGACGACCATGAAGACGCTGGTGTCGATACCTGCAGCAAACAATCAACAATCTAGTTCAATAGGTGGGTACGATGTGTAGCCACGGTGCGGTCACTCGCCACATTGCTGCAGCAACGCAAGTAGACCACGCAAGGGCATCACTACGGTGATGGGGGGCCTAAATATGGGCACGATCGTTTTGAACAAACTTCCGAGATTTTTATGCAGAGCGAAGATTGCACACTTTATAGAAAGCAAACAGTACTACAAGTGCAAATGCGTTTACAGATAACGTGGCCTGAGGATAAACATACCACACAGCAGTAGATCGTCTACCTGGCACAGAATCAACGGCAAACATATCGGAACAACCCTTGCCGCTCCCTCTCGCCCTCCACCCTCGCCCCAATCTCCGCCCTCGTTGACGACGCACCTGCAGCGGCGTTCTCAGGGACGCTCTTGTCGAGGAAAATGAACAAGTCCCCCGGCTGGTGGGCGTGTATCTTCTGCAGCTCGAACCGCAGGCCCCCCACCGAGAGCTCTCTGTACTCGGCCGCCTCGAGCTTCTCCGGGATGGGGACGCCGCGGTTGTTGCCGAAGACGCTCGTGGGGTCGCGGTCGTCCTTGCTCTTGAGGTCGTGCCGGATGCGCTTAGATGCGATGATGGTGGGGTTGTTGTGCGCGAAGTGGTCGGAGACGAAGCCCGCCCCACCAATGTGGTCCTGGTTGTCGATTGCGGTTTCGGTTTCAGTATCCGTAGGGGCATTATTGTTGTTGTTGTTTTTGTTGTTGTTGTTGGTGGTGGTGGTGGTGGTGGTGATGGTAGTGGTATTGTTGTTGTTGAGCGAGACTGAGAAGAGTGCAATATGTACAGCAAACATACTAGAGCAGCCTCTTGTGGCAAGCTTGATTTACGACAGAGCTGGGGAATCCTCCCCTCCCCTGTAGAGCCACTGACGGTGAGTTTCTTCGTGTGCCAGTCACATCAGGGGAACACGTTGGTCCACCTCCTCACATCAGTCACCACTCACCCAACGGCTTGTGCGTGTAGACGATGTACTTCAGCGTGGTGCCCGGGGTGAGGATGGCCTCGATCGAGTCGGAGAGCCACGTGCCCGTAGGAAAATCGGCTGCGCTGGAGACGAAGGAGCCTATGATATTTGTAGTACATCATGGGCAATCACCAGCAAAGGCGGGGGAGGGGGTCACGCGGCGCGTGCGAGCACCCTCATGTACCGAAAACAATTCAATGAAACGATTGATTCACACCCAACGACAAATCGGGTCGCCCCAAAAAACTACGCCGCACTGCTGCACCACGAATGCTGCAGACAAAGCCGCATCTCATTTGTTTGCCGGGCAAAGACCACAATCAAAAGTTTGTTGTGCGACGCCACACGACGCCAATCGTGTGTGATACCTGGTATCTAATATGCGTATGCGGCCTTGAGTTTTCATGACACTTTACCTTCGGGTGCATCGAAGAGAGCTGCCTCGCCGTCGCTCTCCGCAAGCATGCAAAAGTACGACGATCCCCCGAAAAGTGCGAACACGGCGCCCCCCCCGCCGGCGCTCGTCGTGCTCCTCTCGCCGGTAACAGCGTCAAAAGTCACGGGCTCGCCGGCGATCTGCTTGTAGAGGACTGGGTTGGCCGGGTCGGGGCTGCCGGGTAGCGGTAGAAACTCATCTTGGCCGTCGAAGACCTGTCATGATTGCCATCGTCATTTGTTTTTGTCGTCGTTATGTTGTGCGGTACACACTAACAGCAAGTTACGAACGGAAAATTTCGGGAGAAAAAATAGAGTCAGTGGCAATCGCGTTCACGAGAGGAGTAAGAATACTATATACAATGGCATACAGTAGCTGGCATACAGTAGTAGAAGTGGATACATGTATGTGTCAGCATCCGCACGCGTACGTCGTCATGACATTCTTCATCCAACGATAACGATCGATGTGTTGTATGCTGTTGTCCAGCGTCGGTTCGCATCGGACGAAAAGTCAGTCGCGCAGCAGCAGCAGTAGCAGCAGCCGTAGCAGCAACAGGCACAAAACTGCTGCTGTAGCTGTAACTGTCGCTGCCAATGGTGTGCCCTCACTAAAGTTACAGTAATGTTATGCGTGCGGCAAGCAGTGTCCGGCGTTGGTTTAATTTGCACTCGTCCTCTGTGCTGAGCGGGAGGGCTCCCTCACCTTAGTGTAAGTACCAAAAACTATTTAACAAAAAATACAGACCAAAAACTATTACACAATTGTTTTGATTGTATCTACCTCTACAGTATGTACTCATTTGCATGGAGAGACATATTTCGAAGTACACAATATATCAGTTCGTGATCACTACGTTACTGCTGTACTCTGAACAACAATTTTTAAAACGCAACCTCGAATCTCGGCGTCAGGCTGAGTCTTACGGCGTGATTGTTTCGGAGATTTTTTGCTCTCGGTGGGGGTGGGGGTGGGGGGGGCGTACTCATTTGTTGCTTGCCGTAGTCATTTGACCATTGACCACGCGTCCCGTTCGAGACGGAGCACCGTTCCTACCCCTACTAGAGACACCGCCAACATTTGGGAGCTCTTTACGTTTCTGCCACAAACTCCATAAAAATTTCTTGCACATCTTATCCCCGTCCTCTAGGGCCTCTTGTGCCCACCATCTATCCCCAATTATCGCGATCGTTTTTTCGCTGTTGTCTAATTTTCCAAACTTGTCCATGTCACACCCTCTCTGTCTCATTTCCTCCTCGAGATCCTCTCCTTCCTTCCTGTACAACTCACACTCCCCAACTATGTGGGGTCTACTCTCCTCCGATTTGCCACATGGACATGTGTGTCTATCCTCCTCTTCCTCTCTCCTACGGCTGGTATACCTCTTCCTCCGTTCTGGCAAGTCCAGATCGCCTACTCGAAATTGCAATTTCAGCTTTTTCGCGTAGTCCATGGGGCCGTCCAAGTACGTCTTCATCCCTATCCCTTCTTTCAACTTCCCGTATATCTCCAAGTGGTCTTCGCTTCGTACCTTCTTCCGAAGGGTTGCCTCCTCCCTACTCTCTAGCATCTCCTTGACTTTCGTCTTGAACCCCCCGAACCCTTCCGTGTCCAACGTCTCCTCCTCGTCTCCTATCTCCTTCCAAACCATCTCTACCACCTTGTCCCATCTGATTCCCATCTTCCCTGGAGTCGCTTTTCCCCAAGCTGCCTCGTCAACCATGGCTGGTAGTCTATCGTCCGACATTCTACTTACCTTGTACTGCCAATTCAACTTCTGCATGACTCTCTTTTGTTTTAAGAGAGTACATTCCCAATTCTGCTCTCAATACAGTGTTGCTCGTTGTACTTGAATATCCTAGTATTTTCTTGGCCGCTGCCATCTGCACCGTTTCCAGCTGCTTGACGGCCTTTTCTTTACCTTCCCATACCTCTCCTGCATACTCTAGTTTAGGTACAATCACATTCAAGAGAATACACCTTTTAATCCTAGTGTCTAGGTGTGGGTCCGTAAGGATCTCGTCCATCTTGCCTATCTGAGCTTTACCCTTCCCAATCAACTTCGCTATGTGTGCGTCCCATGAGCACTCCTTCGAAATCTCTACTCCCAGGTACGTATACTTGTCTACTACCGGTAGTTCTTCCTCCCCCCATTTCCATTTGAATTCTACGGGATTTTTCTTATCTTCGTTACAGACCACTACTGCGCATTTTCCTACGTTCGCCGACAGTCTCCATTTTCGGGTGTATCCTACCGCCGCATCTATTTGTTCTTGCAACCCTTCTGGTGTTTCGGATACCCCCACGAAATCATCTGCAAACATCAGTCCGGACACACTCTTTCCCCCTACTTGGACTCCCTGTCTTACTGCTTCAACCCGCCCTTATCAAATCGTTCATGTAAATCTTAAAAAGAGTGGGTGACATCGTACAGCCCTGTGCGACTCCTTGGAGTATATCCACGTACTTCGAAATTTCCCCATCCAACATCACCGCACTTCTTGTGCATTCTGTCATCTTTTCAACATCCTCCACATTTTCCCCCGGATCCCGATGTCCCACATATTTTTCCACAATCCATTGCGCCATACGGTGTCGTAGGCTTTTTGTACATCTAGGAAGAAACAGTATGTCGTACTCCCGGCGTCTTTCCTACCTTGGATGATTTTACTCAACGTATATACATGGTCTACACAACTACGATCTGGTCTAAATCCAGCTTGTCCTTCGCTGATCTTTTGTTTCCCCTCCAACATGTCTCCCATTCTATTGTCTATCATCTTGCCAAACAGTTTCCCCACTGTGCTCAGCAGGGTTATCCCTCTATAATTCCCCGGGTCAGTTTTATCCCCCTTTTTGAACAGGTTCACGACTACTCCTTCTCTCCATCTCTTCGGCGCGTACTCGTGTTTCCATATCCAGTTGAATATCCGGACCAACATGTTAATCATCCCCTCCCTCCCCTGTTTCAAAAGCTCATTCACAATTCCATCAGCCCCTGCCGCTTTTCTATTCTTGAGTTTCCCTACGCAGTCCTCTACCTCTTCTCGTGTGAACTCTCCCTGCAACCCGTCTACATCACTACATTCCCTCCGAGATCTTTCAACGTTTTCCTCTGCCCACGAGTTGATTTCCTTCTCAAACTCCGAGTCGAAGTTGTCGTTGGTGGTGGGTGTCCCAAGTTTGCGGTAGTGCTCTACTAGTACTTCCCGCTTTCCTTTAGAACTGCTTACCATCTTACCCTCGGCAGATCTTAGTGTCGTTATTCCCGTGTCTCCCCCTCTTTTCTTGCCCACTATCCCTTGAATTCCTACCCACATTTGCTTCATCCCCCCCTCAAAATCTTCGTTAGTCTTTTGGACTACTTCCTCCCACAACCCTTTCTTCTTCTTCACGACCAACTCCTTCACCCTCTTTCTACTTTCAACATACTCCTTCCATGCTGCATCTGTTTTCCCTGCCGCATACTTTGCGTGTGACTCTCTACGTACTCGAATTGCTTGCTTGATTTCTTCGTCCCACCACTTCACTGCTCTCCTACAAACTATCAACTTTCTACCTAGAACTCTACTTGCTGTTGTGTTTACCAGCTCTTCCCACCCTTCTATGATTCTAGACCCGGCCTGGTCCCGGCCTTCGGCATCCTTCGGTGTATCCATTGCCTCTATCAACTCCGAGGGTTTCTTGTTGTTTATAGCCATCTCTTGTTGGAACTCTACCCTCGTTTCTTCTACTTCTAGCTTATCTATTCTCCATCTGTACATTTTCCTGCGTCGCCTACTCTGTATGACTCGTCTGTTGTAGAGCTGTCCACACCAACGCGTGGTCTGTAGTGCCTACATCCGTTGTGCATACTCGTACTTCCGTCTCTTTCCCCCCATTCTCTATGACTATGTAGTCAAGGATGGACTCGGTGGGGGGGGGGGGGGTCTGCAAGGGAAAAATTATCTGGATACAAACGACCTTCTTACGTTCCCTCGAGACAGATTTTTTTCTCAGGAGAAAAAAAGGGCCATGTCAAGTCTTTGTGGGTCACAACATGCTTCAGTTCACGGTTTTGGCTCGTGTGCGACCAACAAGACACCGAGTGCCCTGTTTTTGGGTCGCCTCCAGAGGGCATGTATATAATCGCACGCCAGTGACTGTAGTTTGTGGATGCCGTCGGCCAAAGGCCTCTCTCTGGCATGCGTTGTACACTGATCACACTCGACTCGGAGCAACCAGAAAAAAAAGGCAACGTTAAAAAAAGCCAACATCGCAACACACTTCGGTTCACGTTTACAGGCCGTGTGCAATCAAAATTGGACAATACGCTCTGCTTCCATGACGCGAGCAGAGCGATTATGTATGATCACACTCCATTGGCAGTAGTTTGTGGATGCCATCGGCCGAAAGCCTCTCTCTGGCATGTGTTGTGGACTGGTAGCGGGTGACACAAGGAGCAAATACGCGGCGGAACAAGAAAAAAAGTCCAAAAAGTCAACACCTCAACGCACTTACTTCGGTTCACGTTTACAGGCCGTGTGCAATCAAAACTGGACAATATGATCTTTTTCTGGGACGCGAGCAGAGGGTATGCATATGATCACACGCCACTGGCTGCAGTTTGTGGATGTCGACGGCGTAAAGCCTCTCTCTGGCGTGTGTTTTGACTGGTTACACATGCAGCAGGCACAAAAACGGCTCTTTTCGGCCCAAAGGCAAGAACGTCATCAGAGCAATGTGGCAGGGTTGACGTTATCGGCTCGTGTGCGGCCAACACGACGCAGAACGCCCTGAACTTTTGATACCTGCAGAGGGTTTGTGCATAGCCCAATGATACTGGCCTCCGTTTGGCCAGCAGACGATGTAGTTCCTCGTTCTGGCACGATCGGGGTGTGACCAGGGGGTACCCCCCCCCAATTCCAAACTGGAAATTATCAGCCGATCCAGTTTGGAAAATGGGCCTATTTTCCAACGCGGCAGCTGGGATCCTAGGAAATATTCGGCGAT